TGTTTTAGTTTTAGATGATTTTGTTACAATTTAAATACACAGATATACAGTTTGTCGTACTGGTACCGATGTGCGACATTTTTGTCCCTATTTGCGAGCAATTCGTTGCTCCTGTATTTAATTTAACATTGCATTTGAAGTTTCGTTTGTTTAATGAAATAAATTTTCTATTATGTCCGGACCCCAGTAATTTTAAAGTTTTGTTAACAGACCTTTGGTGAAAATAGTTGAGTAGCCCTGCCCTAGGATTCTGCCAGTTCAATCCAGGGGTTCCGCAAGTTTCTATTCAACTCTATATTAATATTATGTGTATTTTGTTTAATAAATATACTCAAATACGCATTAGATTTGCCACTGTTATTATTTTGCTAGGCTTTATTAAAGATCATTTTATTTTGGCAGTTTCAGATTTGCTTTTATATGTATTTATAGGCTTACATGTATTGTACATGGTTTTCTCGACCCTCTGGAATGTTTCGTTAGGTTCCTCACCACTTTTTAATATTAAATGGGGCGAATGAAATAAATGATGAAAATGCAATAAAAAAGAAATTTTTTTCGACTTTGGGTTCCAATGGAGATGGACCTTTTGGACTGTACCGGCGGGGTACACATACTGTTTATAAACTACTGCTTTAAACACTTTCTCAAATTATGAAATCACCTCATTGAGTCTTACTGAGCAATCCATCATGATATCTTCAGCCTCTCACTCCCAGATAAGCCTGTATATTGCTTGAACTTCTTAACTATAATGCTTATTTTACCATATTTTCCAGCTAATAGGCTGATTTTCTGGGGCTAATTTTTTGGCCTTCTTTCTGATCAGTTCATTAGGAGCAATGTTCCCTCTAATTTTTTGTAGTATGTGTGCGCAGGAATTTTGGTGTGTGCGCACTTTTTTGGAAATGACTAATATTTGTGCAAAAACCAATGGAGACTTTTTTGGCGTTCTAACCGGGTAATGAGTGGGCCAACAACAAACTTTCTCAACCTGCCAACTGAGCACATTTTTACATTACATCGAAATACGTCTGTGCGCAGTAAATCTATGCCTGTGCGCTGCATCTGAAATTTGTGCGCGCGCGCAAACGCGCACACCTTAGAGGGAACACTGATTGGGAGGATCAGCTCATTTTCCCTTTTTCGGGGGTCGGCCTGTTATTACCTTTCGGCCAGAAAATACCAAAACTGACAAACAGAGAAGAAAAGTAACACATTTTATACCTATGCTTATTGGGTGTAATATGGGAAAACCCTCATATTTAGTGCTAATAATTATCCCTTATTAGTCAGCTTATTAGCTGAAAAATACAGGATTTTGTGTTTTTTAATTTTTTGTTTTTCGTTTTTTGTTCATCTGCAGGTTTCTAGTACTAATATAGGATCAATTTTAGGTCTTACGAAAGCAGCACTGGTGCTTTGCAAATAAGATGGAAATATTCTGGCTAGTTATGCTCAAGTGATTTAGGACTATTGAATCCAAATGACTGAAGGCACTTTTGGATTATTTGTTGTATTTAATCATTATGTCTGTTATTATTGGGCCATAATTTCAAGTACAAATACGGGAGTCACTTGGCTAGTCTCTGAACTCGTGATAGAATTGAAATAAGGGAAATTGGACTAAGATTATGGCCCAACCCTAACCTGGTACACATACTACTACGTTTAGGTGTCCGCCATCTTGGTTCACATACTACGGGAGTACCATTAATTTATGTGGTCTGCATGGAGTTTTTGCCCCATGGATGTTATTCCTCATGGACCTTACTGATCGACAAAACTGTTTTGAGTTGGGATTTGTTTTGCATTCGCTCTAGCATATTACCGGTCGGTATATGTCACTACTGTGGTGAATAGATATCCACGAATAAATCCAATAAGATTTAGGATGGGATAGGATTTACATATTTATCCCGTGGGAGAGGAAAGAAATAAGACAGGTTAACCACATGGCGAACCATGGCCTCTCATCCGGTTACCATTCCATGTCGGGTTTGGGATTAGTTAGCCAGTTGTTCGTCCTAAGATGCAAGGACTGTGATGGTGGAGGAAGCCGTAACCGACCAGCGGTTACCTGAACCACCCTAGAGTAATCAGAGGTGCGGCAGCGTATTCCTCACACTTAGAACGATGAGCCACACCGCCGCGCCCTACTGTAATGTAATGTTGTTTACCATAATTTCTGTGTTGTACTCATTTATTATTATTTTTAAACGACTCCCAAGGTGAGTCCAAGTCAAAGCTTAGACAGTCATATGCCACCTAGTGATTGGAAAGTTTGAGGGATGGAATGTCCGTGGAGCAAAAATTCTGTATATCATTTATAATGTGTTATCGATTGAGTTTTTGCAGGACTGACTACATATCCTTCTTCTATACTTTTATGCCCGTGGATCCGTATGGATATAATGCAAAGATGCTGTGCCAAGAGTGAAAAAAATTATCCTAAGTGATTCAAGAGTCTTGCTGCTCATTATTAACACAATATATTTCTGTGTTAGTTCGCAGCAATACTTTGGATAATCATTTATATGTAGCTATATTTCGTTAACAGTTCATAATTTTTCTTCAAAAAAGAGTTCAAAAAGAAAAAGAGATCAAAATGTGTTGCAATCTGCGATTTGAATCGACGGAGGGACAGCCCAGAGTTTTCCAGTCTGGTATGGAAGAAGAGATGCGGAGGGAACGAAAACAAGCTGTTAAAAAAATAAAAATAACTTTGGGGATCGGGGTCACAGAAATCATTATTGCAATTCCTCTGTTCTCACTGGCGTTCTATTTGCTACATGGACCTATGGAATCAACGCTGTGCTACGACACTATTGCTATTAGGGAGTGTATTGAACCACCGAAACCTGTGTTCGACATTGTTCTTGGCGCTATCGGTATTGTATGCAGTATTATAGCTTTTTCATCTGGCGTAGCAGTTTATATTATGAAACAAAAACGAAGCGTAAGGGTAAAAAATATAAGTGCTTTATTGGCAATAGTTTCTTTAGTTTTATGTGTTCCTTATGTTGTGATGGCTTTGATTGTTGCATTTATAGGACAAGAGGATTTGAACCTTCTATACCTTTTTTGTGCTGTTATTGGTTTTCTTGTAACGGTTTTATCAGCATTCCATGTAGTGTTAGCCCATGGATGCTGCTGTGTCAATCGAAGTCGTTTCTACACTAGAAATGAGTTAAATGATTTCCAAATGGATGGACTTCGGCAACTATATCACATTTAATTATCCCCCCTCCTGTTTTTTTGGTACTCCCGCAGTATGTGTACCAGGTTAAAGTTAGGCCATAATTTTATTCCGACTTTCCTTATTTTAGTTCTATTATGAGTTCGCGGACTGTCTTTGTTAGCCAAGTGAATATCCCCCTGCCAGTTTCAGTTTCCCGGTTTCAGTCCCTTTATACAACTTTATGTGAAGTAGGCGAACAAATTTAGTTACTTTCATATTGGTACACATACTTCCGGAGGCGTTTTTTCAATACATCGCTTATCTATACTTTTTATTTCAACAATTCCATTGTAATATTTCCACAATAGATTAGACATGGACAAACTTTGCCCCGCGGGCCAAACCCGACCCGTTGAGTAATTCTATCTGGCCCGCCTGATTCTGCCAAAACCAAACTAAAACCAAATTTTGATGTTTTAGTTAAAATTAGCTCAAGAAATTTGTTGAGATTTCAATTAGATTCAGTTTTGGCACGCGGCCTATTGTTTTTGACTTTTTGTCTTTGTAATTAAATATTGTTCATAAAATGTAACTTTTTTCGTCACACTTACATGGCTCGCAAGTCTAGGTTGGAAACATTTTTGGACCCTGGTTTAAGAACCTTGCCCCCCCCCCCTGTATTAGTTCCTAGGAGCACGATTCCTTATATTTAAGAAGGTAATTTCATTTACTTACTTTCATTCCATGGTATTTGATTCCGACAACTTACAATGTTCAGCGCAGTTATTAATTTACCGTTTTACTGAGTGAGTGGTACTGTTTATATCAGCGGTATCCAAACAGTGGATCTTGCCTCACAAGGCGGTCATGGACAACTTTTTGAGTGGCCGCAAAGCTAATTAAAAATAAAAATATATGTTAGATTTGATCTTGACTGCCTTATTTTGAATATTTATGTTCCATCCATGTATTTTCAACGTGATACCTTCGCCGTATTATCTGTTATTTATAGCTTATTGTTAGCTAGTTATTTTTGAGATGGGGCACGAGACACTGGTTTAAATTGTATTTTATTCATGGTACATGCTTGATTGTTTTATATCATATGATTTAATCATGTCAAATTTAAGCAAATTCCTCTGTCAATTTTTTTTCCATTATTAATCTACAATCTATTTCTTTTTCTCATATTTTTACTGCGCTTATGTATACGTACTCTATCACCATTAGTTTTCAGAATTTTCATTGCTAACCTTTGCACATTTCTTGGAAGATAAGGGATTTTGACAGAGGGAAGGGGGTTTGCAAGCAAGAGATTAAGCTTTAAGCAAATTGCGAAATGACTCTTTATATACAGGGTGGCCCAGAAGTAGGTATACAGTTATTAAACTATTTTATATGCTTTGGAGCTTCTTGCAGTTCACTTTATGTTACTTGTTAAGTACCACAAAAATTGTTTTTTTAGATAATAAATCTAGTGTGAATTTTACATTAGTTTTCTAGCTGCTTGGAAGGTAATAGAAGATAAATGAAATAACTGTATATCTACTTTTGGGCCACCCTTTATAACGCTTTTGACAACAAACCTCTGATTACTTGGGTCCTCCACCATCAAGTCCATGTATCTGAAAAACAAATAACTGCCTAACCGAGAATATCGGTCGGAGACCGAAGACTTATCGATCTTAGATCGGTAATTAGTTAATAACTCGCTAATTATACGACATAATTAAAATCGATAGGCGTCTGGTCCGAGGTAAGGTGCATGCACATGCAAAATTTGGAGCAGATTCAACCACGCGTTCGTGAGATATCGCGTTCATCTAACAGACACACACACACACACAGACATACATACAAATACCTATCAATATACTTACCGATCTTAAGATCGATAAGTAATAACCCCGTACCCGACATGAGCTGGTAACCCTCTTATCAGCATTACTTTCTCCTGGGATAAATAATGTAAATCCTATATTTTACCTCTAAGTTCCGAAAATTCCTATAATTATGTCCATGTTCCGTGTTGCATGATAATTCATTATCAGGTGTAAAAGCTATGGCACATAGGTGTAAAAATATTACTTAAATTTAGATTAAAATGCACACGAGACCACATATTTTGGATACATATGCTCGAGTAATGGCTATGCAAGGAGTTACGATGACAATGAACTCTCACACCCGAGGACAAAAAGTGGAGCGCAGACGTTACAAAAGAACGTTATATTGGTTTGGATTTATCGAGATTATACTTGGGATTGCATCCTGCAGTGTTTGTATTGTCGGCCTCGTTATTGCCTCTGTACATTGGAAGAATAGCATGATATCAACATCTTCGGGTATTTATTTAGCTTGTTATCAATTTGGTTTCTGCAGTACTAATTGCATATCCCTCTTCTATGCTTTTGTGTTTTCTGATCTTGATGCAGAGTGTTTAGAGTGTCGGACCCCCCTTCTCATTTTGAAATGAAACAATAAACGACATTTTTCTGTATCATACATGTTTTTTTAGACCTTAATAAAAGTTCACTATTAGAGTAAATAACAGGCAGAACATATCATAGGGGACAGACATCCCTTTTACAGTTGAATAAATGGTATTTATACTACTGACCAGTGAAGTATGCAATGAAATTATGATATGACACTAACAATAAATGCAAACCAAAATATAAGATTCATAGAAAACTGGAGAATTATTACTTATCACTGAACCCGGCCTTGGTTTAAGAAAATTCTTTTAATAGAAAATCTTTCATCAGGTTACTTCCAAATAAAAATGTGTAAATGGGGCGTCAAGAACCATAAGTGACAATTGTTGTCAGTTGTCACTACACACATCACAACTTGTCATGTATAACATGACTGTACCTTTTACCTGTGTACCAGGTACAGGCCTGAGTACGCTGTGCTTCCCTAAAATGCATGCGAGAATGCCGTAGAAAATTCTGGATTGCTCACCAATATATCTGAGAGTATGAACGGTGGTGGAATGAAAAAGCCATCAATAAAAAGTTTTAACAGATTAACAGTTCTAATTTTAGCATGTTCTGTTTGCGCCAATTATTTGAACCTATGCAAAAATACGCATTGTCGCCGGTTTCATGAGACGCCGGGATCTGTGTTTGCATGCCCAAATTGTTGTGGAAAAAGTCCATGAAATCCAAACTGGCTTGTGTAATTTGTCAGATTTTTGCTTTTGTATTTTGTTATTTTATTTGTATTGTCCAATTATAATGCAGCAGTCTTTTTAAACTGTTATTGTATTTGTTGTGGGTATTGGGGACATGATGGGCATCTCAGTCTTGCAAAGTCTTCCTGAGGGGATATACATATCAAGTCCATGCTTCCGAAAACAAAACAATATAACTAATCCCATACCCGACTTGGAATGGTAACCGGACGAGAGGCCGTGGTTCGCCATATGGATAAGCCGTCTTATCGGTTTTCCTCTCCCCCGGGATAAATATGTAAATCCTATCCTATACATGCATATACAGGGTGGTCGCTAGAAAAACAGAAATGATGTGGGTGTCAAATTGAAATCAAATAGTACCTAAAACAACCTAGAATCTATAAGGAAAAAAAAAAGGTATGGGAAAATAAATAAGCACGCATTCTCATCTGACCTTCAAATTTTCTGCTTTTCTAGCAATCACCCTGTATATTGAAGGGTGATAATTATGTGCTGTAAATACATTCATGGTATTCTGTGGTCCTCTTACTAAACGTCTTTTTTTTTCAGGTTTATGGTGCGGAATATTTCTTATATTTTCTGGAATCGCTGGAGTTCGTGTCAACCGTCAATCATCCGCTTGTATCATCAGAATTAACATGGCCCTGAGTATTATTTCCTGTATATTTATGTGTGTGATGTTTATTATGTCCATACTAGCAGCGTTCCCCAATGTATCTACACTTTTAGCTGTGTATGTGTTTTTAAGTATCATAGCGTCAGCTGGTTTTATTATTAATATTGTTCACGCTGCTTTCTGCTGTGCTGCGATATGTTGCATTCCAAAACGCAATCACGGACAGGTTTTTTATTCTTCTGGACGACCACAACTTGTGGAACTTGGCAATGGGCAATATATATTAATACAAGGGGAATCCCTTGTGCCACCTGGGTATCCCGGCCCTCCTTCAGGGGGTAATAACAGTGAACCAATCATGCCTGCGTTGTTACACCCACCCCCATCTTCTCCCCAAAGTGAAGAGGATCCGAACAAGCGGATTTCCACCCCGCCTCCCCCGTACACGTCAAGAGAAGATTTATCAGCTGGTCCATCGAATAGACGATAAATGAAATTTGATGTGCAATGGTGTTGTATGTTATCCTCATCTCGCATAAGGGTTGGAAAAACACCCTCCTCGGGCGAGTTTGCTTCTGGTGGCGAATTGCTGAACAAATTTACTATCAACAAACATATGTCATTGTAAATTACTCAGAGTCACACATTACACCTTAGAGTGTTCATGTGACAATTTTTAGTTACAAAACTGTGGAACGCCATCAAATCAAGAGTGGATGCAAGTAGGGCTGTCCAAAACCGAATATACTCAACAGCTACAAATCGATTCTATTTATAGAACTGGCGTCTTTGATGATATTAAATTGTCTTTATCTCCTTGTGTTCTCTCAAAAAACGTCATCTTTAAATCTTTGTTATCATGCATTTATGATCATGCATGAAATGGATAATTACATGTCACCGGCAATAGGAGAGACACCGTTTACAGCAAAGAAAGCGATAGAAATACGTTTTTGCTTTCTTGGTGAAAAACGCAGTGAAAAGGTGGTCGTGAGGCGCATTATGTACCAAATTTTAGTGATTCGCAAATTCACTGAAAATCGCTTCGAATAATTTGCGATTCGATTTTGAATATTTGGTTCGCTTGGACAGCTCTAGATGCTAGAAAAACTTATATAACGTTTATGTATTTACCTCAAGCACCGTTTCCCAACTTGGCGCCGCTATTTATGGATATATTGCTTTGGTTTGGGATAAATTCAAATTCTAGAGAACACCATATCCAATCGATTCAGCAGAAGGCCATCACTCATGAACAAAATTTTGCTATCTATAGAAGCCATGACTGGTACATCATTTTTGTAAAATTTCAACTCAAAATGTGTTCGTAATATCGAATCTACAACAATTTTCGTAATTAGCTTATTAATATTTCATGTGCTCTTTCATTCACTCCCTAGCTAGTAAATCAAATAGAGAGGATGTGTTTTGCTCCCTGATTAGCCAATCTTATCACCCTTTTCTCTCCAGAGATAAACCCGTGAAGATTCACAACCAGACGCACACGCCTTCCATAAACAATGCGCTCTGATTTACGGTACTTGACATGTTCACCAACATATGTTATACGTAATAATGTCTTCGGTAGAGCGTGTCGTGCTTTGGGGAAACACTATCAAAATTTTACTTCAAATCACAGCGCTTCTGTGCCGAGGTTAAAGTTGTCTCGCGGTCCCCCTAAAGTCGCTTCGCGGACCTTAAGGGACCACGAACCCCAGTTTGAGAACCAATGTGTTAAGGTCTAACTTGGCAATGTAAAATTTTAGAACAAATTACTGGATGTCCTGCTAGACGAGAGGACATGGTTTGAAATATGACTAAGCCATCCAGTCGGCTCTCCTCTCCATTAAGATATTATGAAAAGTCCTCTCTTAGTTTATCACTGCAATTTAATTGCTACAATGTAGCCTATATACAGCCAAACATATCAAATGTTGAATTTTTAATTCTTATTCTGACAATTTTTTTTTTAACTTTTATTCTGTACAATTTTTTGATAAATGCAATTATTTAATTTTCAGCTGCTGTAAATTTTGTCTTTATCATGTCAAATACGGATCGGGATAAATATATAGCGCCACTCAGTGTTACTTGATCTTAGTAAAATATAAGTAGGCTAGCTAGCTCTCACTCCAGCTTTTAGCATTTCAGGGGCTAAACATAACTTTGCTCAGACTCCGAGATGAGTCTGCTTTTTTTTCTCTACTTTTGAGTGAGCGAACCATGTTTTAAACAAATTAATTACAAATAGGCAACAACTTTACTTGTACAGTAGCAGTGTTTCTCAGTGTGAAAATTAAATACTTATTAGTTATTTGTTTTTTCTGGTACTGCTTTTCATATTTTGAACTACCGATACAGTTGAGTACCTTTCTGCAATCACCACTTATTTTAATTGGTACTTTTTTATTTGGATCAGTTTTTCTTTATACGGGGGGTGAGCCACGTAACTGGTACATGAAATTTATTTGTTTCACATTTTTCAATTTTTTATTCTATGGTGCACATATTATATCATCAGGTTGGATTCTGTGATTTCATTATACTTAGCTTCGCAGACATATTTTTAAATTTGTGGGCCATCGAAAAATATGGCAAACTCTTGTTAATTTGGTTGGCCACTTTTGAAAAGTTGGATTTTCGAGAGTTCTATTTTAAATGCAACTGTTATTAATCATATGGAAATTTCCTCTAATTTTGAAACCGTAAATGCAAAATGAATGACTCCCCCACTTTCCATGGACTGCCAAGCTTATTGGCACCTGGGGTATATTCAGCGCTGGGATTCAATTTTTTTGTCAGCCAGTTCCATCACAAAAGCTATATTTTTCAGTCGGTTCTGTTACAGAAAACATGTTTTTTTTCAGTAATACTAACCGGTTCGCTGAACTGATAAAATTTTGTGTCTATACTCTATTTACGGTTCTATAGAACCGGTGCGAACCGGCTGAATCCCACAACTGGGTATATTGTATGAAGCACTTTCCTTTCCTAATCAACTCCACAGTGTTGTGCCTGTGCGTGTTCAGTGCTTTTACTATTTTTCGACATTTTTCAGGAATTTTTTGAATAACAATACTTTCATTCAATATTTAGTTCCAAAATTTTCGCTTTTTAATATTTGCACAGAAGTAAAGTGTGTTTTGAAATATAGGGTGTCCATGAAGTCTGGAATTTTTTTAAAAAGCTTATCAATACCATATATTGTTTTAGCCCTCACAGATGTATTAAATGAAGTTAAAATAATTGAACAATTACTGATTTAAGAACAACAAATCTGGTCAACATTTATTGAGAACTGACTTCATAATGAAATTGAGACTTTATGGACACCCTGTGCATCTCAGTATTCTTGATATAGACATCCAAGTGTCAACATATTCATTGGTGCTATATTCTATTTTTTCGGCGCTCCAGAAGTATGTGTACCAATATTAGGGTAACTAATTTTGTTCACCTGCCTAATTCAAGTTGTGTAAAGGGACAGAAGCCCATGGGCAGGGGGTATATTCCCTAGGCTAACACAGACAGTCCCCGAACTCGTAATAGGACCGAAATAAGGGAAATATGAATAAAACTATGACCCTAACATGGTACACACACTTCTGGAGTACCTTTCATTCACTATATATTTCCCAAATTTTCAAAAAACTCAATCCTTATTTGCACAGCAGTGGAATGTGCTTGAAATATACTTTATCTCAATCTCAATATTCCTGATATAGATATCCGAATGCCAACATTTTCATTGGTGCTATATACCTTTACTATTTTTCAATGTCTCTCATACTTAACAGTTCTTGCTGAATCAAATGTTTCTTTGTAAATCATCGATAATCATGTTTTTTCATATTCCTCTCGTTCAATTCCAATACTCAACATTATATCTGAAGCAATATGTGTGTTTAGTTTTAGAAGCACTATTCTCGCCAGAGATAATTACAGGTATCTTTGAGAGTTTTGCTGGAGTCCTCTAACTATATCAATGGTTCTCAATCTGGGGTTCGCGAACCCCCATCGGTGCACGAGAAGATTTGGATACTTGGATGGCAGTCGAGTTTTTTTTTTTTTCAATATCCTTTAACAAAGGAAAACTAAGTAACTACCAGATGAAAATGAATGCCAATTGAAACTCAGCGTAAATTTTCACTGATCTAGCGTTGTTGTGATTGTGACGCAACATTGTGAAATGCACGGCTTTTCAGCCAAACTGTGAAATCTCATATAACAATGCGCTGCAAGCATTGCAGAAAGTGATGTGCTCATCGAAACTTGAGAGTGATTTCAAGAATTCATTAGTTGGGTCTTGGGTGGAGGACAAGGGCAATAAGATCAACACGAATAGATAAAGCACGATACACGAATAGTTACAGCAGTTGTCGTTGCAGCAATTCGTCAGTCAATATATCACAACTTTGTTTGGTGTCTGATTATTGGGAGTTCGCTTTGATTGTTTCGTGACTCACTTGGGGCGGGGCGGATGGGTACTTACCAAAACAAAGGTTGAGAACCCCTAAACTAGATAGATAGATGAGTAGTTTATTTCAAAACTTCATAAAAAAAAACACAATTTAAAAATGGAGAATTCTGGAGGGCAGGCAAAATATATATGGAAGTTTAAAACATGAAGTATCTCATGTGTCTCTCACACACAAAAACACAAGCCCAATTAAATTAAGCTTGGGCCAAAATTGAACAAAATACCCGATAGTATTAGGCCTTGGGGCTGATAAGTAATCCTATACTTCTAGAATGGAATTTAAACATTTATCCCAGGGGAGAGGAAAGCCGATAAGACGACTTAACCATATGGCTTACCACGGCCAATCGTCCGGTTACCAGTCCATGTCGTGTATGGGATTTGTGAACTCAGAATTATGTTCCTCGGCTTTTCCGATCACTAGGTGGCGTATAGCAGTTTAAGGTATGACTATAGAGGACTTGCACGGGTCACGTGACTTTGTTACTGGACGGCAATAAACAAAAACGTCCATTTGGCTCCTGACAGTTGCAAGTCGGATTATACGTTTCCGTTTTGTTTGGCTGTTGAAAATGGTTATTTCGTATTGTTCCGTTGGCTGTACGTATAGTATAGACAACGAAATAGATCTTCAGTTATATTCCACTGATTTCAAAAGATCCGGAACGTCGCGCAATGTGGATATCATCTATTGCCTATTGGCAGAACTGCTTGGTGTCAAGTCCAGAAGCCATCTTACTTGTGTTTCACTGTTTGCGGACAGCCCTTCGTTGATGGTGAGTGATAATGTGGTGATAGTGTGCCGTTATCAATTTCTTTAAATATTCACAAGCTCCCTCATTTCAATGGAAAGCAGATGACAAACTACTGTTATTGGTAGGACTAGGCGTGGGCCTACTTGCAGTTGCAGACTTGACTTGTGTAAGACAGTAAGAAATTAATAATCAATTGCTATAAGGTATTGTTTGGTGCTTGTGCAACTGATCCAAAATGTCGTTTTATTGTCATTGGTAAAAAAGATATGCTACCCGGAATAAATTTCATTTACGACTAGTGGCTGTGGTGGGATATGGACATAAATTCACACTCCTTGATCGTTAGATTTTATGAAAACTCTATCTGTATCCATTATCTTGCAGATTTGGGTGCGACCATGGAATAGATGGATGGCAAAGTATAAGTTGCAACAAGACCACAGGGGCACAAGACCTCAGCTTGCGTGACTTGATAATACATCCGCAGTATCCATTTATTGATGCTTATCGTAATGACAAAGTAACTTTTGATTACTGTGGATTGGCGGAGATAAAGTGTCCATTGTGCTTTTAACGAAAGCAACTTCAAAACGACCCTATCAAGAAAAAATCTTGTTTCGGTGGGTCTGGTAGTGAAGGTTTCAGTCTGACGTTGGACACTGATACTACAACCAGATACAGTTGCCACTGAAACTTAGCGAGGCGTAATATTGCGACTTTGTGATCTGAAAGGAAATTCTGATGGATAGCCGGCTAGTCGCAACCTTTGGTTTAAAGAATATTATGAGATATCACTTATAAGAGTCTAAACTTTTATTTGAGAGGGGTGTAACCCAAGCTAATTTGCAAATGGTATTCATGGTACCAAATGTATCACACACTTTACAGTAATTATAAATTATATTTGAAAAATAGAGCACATCAAAAATGTATTTTTAAAAAATATTTGGTTTAATCTGCAGATACTAGGTTGATATTAAAATTGACCATTTCAATGTCAAATTTTCTTTAGTCAAAAGGCACACTTGATTTGCAAAGATTTGTGAATGCGCACAGTGCACCAATTTGTCTAATGTTTTGATTACATAGGCAGGAGGTTGTGGATCGGTGCTGCTCAGAATGGGATATTTTTGCCTCTAAATGCATATCAAGTGTTTGACATGAATCCATCGTGCTCAGTCAGATTCGACTGTTTCCAAGGTCTGAGGGCTCCAACAGCCTTATTTTATGGGTACACAAGAGAATTTTCAGTGTGGCATGCTTGGGTCAGTTGGAGTCACTAACCTCAAGATATCTATAAGCAAGGATAAGATAACCTGGAAGTAACATTCCGGTATCTGCCTCCACAGCCCTTTCAAATGGAAGATATGATGCCTCGGGGGTAATTTTTATCAAATATTTTACAGTATTATGGTTCTAGTGAAAAGGAGTGTAGGCGGCTTTTTTAAAGTGTGGTAGGTCTAGTCGAAAGACACATTAAATGTTTATGCTATTAACTGCAAATTGATATTGCAACGCATACAAGTTAACAGAATTTGTTGTTGTTTGTGTATCAGATCAGTAATAAATTACCTGCTAACTAACAAAACAATCAGACAACACCTTCTGACCATTAATGAAGATTTCTTTCAATTTAAAACGCAACGTAGTTTTTAGGATAGAATTTATCTGTGGTTGGGAACAGATTGCAAGGTGCAACATCGTACGATTACCATTCTATGTCGGGATTAGTTAGCCAGTTATTTGTTTTTGAAGCATGGACTTGATGGTGGGGGATGTCGTAATCGACCAGCGGTCGTGTGAACCACCGTCAGTGGGAGGAGAGCTGCAATCCCCTCGCACATAACTATCCCCGCATGGGATTGGAACCTGTGAAACTCCCAGGGGGATCAGAGATGTGGTGGCGAGCGTATTCTTAGATGGAGAATTCAATTGAATTCTGGTTACTTTTTTTGCATTAGCACTGGCGTTAAACTTTAGTTATCTATTCAACTTTTCACACTTACTAATAGATTACCTGCTAACTAGGGAAACAACACCTTATGGCAATTATTGAGCAATACCTTACACGAGTCAAGTCTGCAAGTAGGCCTACGCCTAGGCCCACCAATAACAGTAGTTTGTCATCTGCTTCCCATTGAAATGAAGGAGCTTATGAATATTTAAAAAAATTGATAACGGCACATTATGACTCACCATCAACGAAGTGCTGTCCGCAAACAGTGAAACACAAGTGAGATGGCTTCTGGACTTGACACCAAGCAGCCCTGCCAATAAATGATATCCACTTTGCGCGACGTTCCGAATCTTTTGAATACAGTGGAATATAACTGAAGATCCATTTCGTTGTCTATACTACACGTACAGCCAGCGGAACAATACGAAATAACCATTTTCAACAGCCAAACAAAACGGAAACGTATAATCCGACTTGCAACTGACAGGAGCCAAATGGACGTTTTTGTTTTATTGCCGTCCAGTAACAAAGTCACGTGACCCGTGCAAGTCCTCTATATTCAGTTGCAATGACTTATTTTATTTTAACTCCATTATCAGCATAAAAGACGATAAAAATAATTGATAAAAACAAAATGAATAAAACTAATTCAAACAAAAAAGTACAGATTTTAGATTCAATGTTGTTGTCGGAAGAAGTGGTACAGTGTTTCCCCGAATATAAGACAGGGTGGGTCAAATTTCAGTTTTCTTCCGAAAAATAACAGTAGAACTTATTTTTGGGGATGCCTTTCATTTTTTTATCAAAAATAAAAATGCGAAGTAGAGAATTACAAGATTTTCAAACATACAAAATATGAATTGCGGCGTGACATTCACGTTACCTCAGGCTATTGAACTGTTCCCTCTCTCACACGTTTTAGATTAATCATTTAAAACGTGTAGGAGACAAAAAAAAATGCGCTGTCGACTAGGTCTTATTTTAAGGGGAGGGCTTATATTGAAATCATTTTCAAAATTCAGGCTAGGTCTTATTTTCGGGGGAAACACGGAACGTGTCCGTTGACACATTCACGCAGACAAAATAAAATTAGAAAAGAGAAACATAAGATATGATGCTTAGTAAATGATCAAACAAAATAAAATTTTGCCACACCATATTGATAATTACAAGTGAGCAATGCTCAAATATGTGGACACGAAGTCCAAAGCGAAGCAGTGGTTCAAAAAACTTCCGAATTTTGCGTAGCGCGGATGAGTTTGCAGAATCGCTACAAATAATTTTTATTAATATTAAAAAAGGTATTACACAAAATCACTTACAGGTCACAGGGAGTTTCGAAATAAATAAAAGTAATAGCCCTCTAGCGAACAATACAGTAATTTCACCAATGCTGAAAATACGTAAGGTACATTTACGAAGTAGAATAAAAGAAGAATAAATAGCATTTGAGGTTGGAGGGAGACGTCAGAAAAACCAGTACTGGTTATTGAACAGCGACACCTTGGATGGGGTCTAACACAGCATGAAAAAAAAATAAGATAAAATAGAATATGGATGTAGAAACAAAATATTCACACTAATAAATTCGTATATGAGAAACATTCAAGTATCCAGAGAATTTTGGGGAAATCCTGAGACTGTCGTTAATGTAAAGATAGACTCCATGCATCTTAAACCATCGGAGATTTCAAAGCAATTGGTCCAGAAATTAATGAGAAAAGTGATTCTTTCACAACAAGAAGAAGAAAAATACTAAGATAATGACAACAACAAAAAAATATTGAAACAATCCATGGATCCACGTCGCGTCCAATAATATTGCATAGTTTACACCTATTTTAAATTACGCGCGTCCAAAAAGTTTCGCCCGGTCATAAAGTCTTTAAAATCGAATGATAATTTATTTTTTAATTGTAAAAAGATTTACAGTCAGCCTGTATTGAATTTGATGTTATAGATGTTGGATGTTGTGCCTATCTATTATCATACAATAAATTTATTTTAATTTACATTTGTTATTATCATAAAATCGGGCGAAACTTTTTGGCCTCCTGTATGTATCTACATATAAAGGCGCTTTGCTAATCAGTTCATCACACAGATAATACAAACAAAATAGATACAAACACGGCCAGTATGGTTATGTGCACTGTAATACCTCCCAATACCAATAGAGTAGCATGCGGTATATATTAGGAAAAGGATAGGAATTTTATGTTTATCCAAGGGAAGGCCGACGGCCTAAGACAGCGTTTCTCAAACAGTGTGCCGCGGAGATTTTTGGAATTTTAGAAAATAAGCTATGCATGCAACAGGTAAGCTTGTGAGACTTGAGTATACAGTATTAGTATATTGACTTGCGTGCTCAGTTAGGTTAACAGGGAAACAGTTTTGGACGAGTCTTACCGCCTTATAAATTTTATCCAATCATCGGTGCAAAATATTCTATTCATTTGCATCTTCATGACTCTGTAAAAACGGATTATCAGCTATGGCTGAAATTAAAAGCAAAAAAAAGGAGCGACGGAACCTTTTTTCAATTGTTTCTCAAAACAGACACACACATCGCATTAACATTTGCAGGATAATCCGTTTAAAGCCAACTTGAGCAAAAAAAGTTTGAGAACCACTGGCTTAAGATATCGTTGTATAATAGTGGATGTTTGTTTATACCTGGCCTAGTTCAGCGATAATTGGACCGGGGAAAGAAACTCGCAGGCAACCAAAGCTGGTTACAGATCAATGACGCCAAGGTTTAAATATATAATTTGAAAGATAGAAAATTCAGGTTTCTTGCTACTGTTGTTGTCGGCGAATGTGGTTTTGGCAAATTAGGCATAGAAGGATCGAAATACAATAACACAAAGCAGCAAGCGTTTGAGTTGTTTAAGATTAGGATGTGAAGGATGGGCAATTAATAATCATCTCTAAGAGAGTAAAGCCGATAAAACGGTTTAATCATGTGGCGAAACACGTCATCTGATCTGGTTACCAGTCCATGTCTCGTATGGAAATTGTGAGTTAGTTATTTATGAACCATGCTATACACAGCACTCGAGCTAGTCTGTTGCGAATCGTCTACCATTCTGTCGAAATTTTCTCCATATATTGCATTGACCACGATTTCTCGAGTATTTGATTCTTCCGCATCAGTTACTTTGACATCCGGGGTGCGTGAGGTGGCCTTTGACCTGAGGTTAAATATAAAATTTTGCAAGAAATAGGTCTACACCAGAATCGGTACTCCCGAAGTATGTGAACCAAGATGGCGGACACCGGAACGTAGTATGTGTACCAGGTCAGAATAGGCCATAATTTTATTCCAATTTTCCTAATTTTAGTTCTATTACAAGTTCCGGTCCAACTTGCCAAGTGACTCCCGTAGTATTTGTATCTGAAATTATGGCCTAACCCTAAACCAAATTTGCATTTATAATATTCATCCAATCTAAAGGATTTATATCTCATATCATTATTATTGTATATGTTGATATGAATTGCTGCATCCAATTTTCTGTGTTCAAACTTGCATCTATACGTCTCAAATCATGATTATTGTATATACTGATAAAAAATGCCACATTCTCTTCTTACGTTGAGTCCATACGAAACTGGGACAGGGACCCTATATCTGGGCAATATGGATTATAAAAATTGATAAGGGACTGAACAATGATGAAAAATCTTTCACAACTATTCAGATTCTGGAATATGATATAAATTTTGTATAGTGTAAATCATTTAGACTTTGTATTATTCCAAGTGTATATAATTAGTGGTCAATGTTCCCTCCAATTTTTTGTAGTATGTGTGCGCAGAAATTTTGGTGTGTGCGCACATTTTTGGAAATGACTCATATTTGTGCAAAAACCAATGAAGAAATTTTGGCGTTCTAACCGGGTAATAAGTGGGCCAACAACAAACTTTCTCAACCTGCCAACCGAGCACATTGTTACATTACATCGAAATACGTCCGTGGGCAGTAAATCTATGCGTGTGCGCAGCCTCTGCGCACACGCGCACACCTTAGAGGGAACACTGTGAGTGGTGTCACCTAACATTGTACTTCTGTCATTCAAATTATATTAATATATATATTTTGTATAGTATATTGCAGCTTATACTCTTCTTTTGAGCGTACATGTCTTAAGTACTTCCTGTATATATTATACAACTCGTTCGGGCCTACTGTGGTCCTAGACATCATTGAATATTTTCCTCCTGGTCTCGTATTCCATCATTATACTTGTGGAATACTACCAACTCAGTAGTACATCCTGTTAAAATGTGAAAATTTTTTGCATCTGTAGACAGTGGCTTGTTAAATCATAGTGTCCTTTATAAATCAACTATTTACTCAATCAAAAAACAAATCCTCAAATACAATTGGCAATGTTAAATGCCAGTTGTATTTAGGTTGAATTCCCTACATTCGAGACCCTTTGACTTGATATATTAATCTAGTACTATTCCCTAGAAATCATTCTTCTCCTATTTATGTACAACTCGCCAATGGTGCTTTTTATATTCATATTTTGTGATAATGAAATTACGATACTGCTTTATATTTTACTGTTACATCAACTCATACTATTATAAATATTTACATTTTTATTTAACATTCACTTGTCTTCTTATATATTACTTTGACATCCCTATGCAAGCAAAAAAATATTATACATACTATAAAATAGTGAATATGGGGGGAGCTGACTCTGATGACCGTATGGTCGTATCGCTCCTCCCGGTCTATACCGAACAATTTTATTGTTGTATATTTTTATTGCTGTTGCAATGCTTGTTTTTCTGATTGACCAAATAATAAATCTCTTTCTGGTATTTACACTCACCGGTTTCGTATAATAACGACTCCGAGCACCACCCACGATATGACAAGTAATCCGATGGCGATTGCAAGGCCGACAATCAGTTCGGTTCCGACATGAATCTGCGGTAAATTGTTGCTTGTTGCGTCATATGCCGTCACAGAAGAAGTCTGATCGGTAGATGAGTCTGTAATTCAGAATGCAAATTTGGCATACATTTCGTTATGACTTCTACGAAAATAAAAAAATCATGGTTTACATTTGATGCTAAATATCTTTGGTTAATCGCAATAACACAGAGAGATGGGGCAAAATGAAAATTACTTTAATTAACAACATATATCTGTATATTGGTGTACTAAGTTTCATGACGTTTGAAAATTAAATTTTATATTTCCATCCTTCCGAGACATATAAATGAAGGCATATATTGTATCAGATTGAATTGTTAGCTTTAGCGTTTTGAAAGTACAACAGTCGAAAAGTTCAATACATTCGCGTATTTTAATTTTTTTTCATTTTTGGCCCAAACCTCGTTTAACTAGTTTTCTTGTTGTGTGTGTGGTGGTGAGCGGGCACATGATATTTATCATGTTTTAAACTTTTTTAAAGGTTTGCGCGCACTCCCAAATTCTCTATTTTTAAATTTTGTGAATTATGGAGTTTTCAAAATAAACTATCTATCTAGGACGCTTTGCACAAAAGCTATGTTATCTCTAGAATATGTTCCAAATGGCCTGGGCTTTGTGTATTTTGCGGTAACACCATATATTAGGTTAATCTCAACGTCGTACAGGAAACAGCAAAGAGAAATGTGCTTGATTTCCAGAATCCGGAAGCATTTGCAACTCGTGTGCGACCCAGAATAAATAGCATGTCGTTTACAACGATGTATGGACTTATATGGATATGGTAACCTATGCTCTATGTTGAAAAGAATTATTTTTTCTCATATTTCCATCAGTGGCGTATCTACGTAATATGCGCCCCCTTTGATTGTGGACCGACAAGTTTTAACGACTGTCGTTGAATTGAGATAGTGAGTGTAGCATAACAATTTTTTGATATGTCAATCCTAACCCCCATCTGACTACGGCATCCAAAAATTAAATTCAGGTCTCAAAAGCTGGTTTACTTACCGGTTACCGTTGTTGAGTATTCCTTTTCATTCCTCAAGCATTCCAGATACTTGTACTGTACTTGAACGAATTTTCTACCGAAATACTGGCCAAATATCTTCAATTGCTCCGGCATTTTTGACAGACGAAACCACATATATTTGTTGCAGACCATACCGTCTACACCCGCACTCATTAAAGTGGCTGTATTTGGCAAGATACATTCAACAGGTTGATAGAACAGACATTTTATTAGTGGCTTTTGGCATATTCCATACTTTTCTGAAAATCAAGGGTTTTTATTAAAATTCATTTTTCATCTGTTTTTAAAAATAGCGCTTTAATAATATAATCCGTAACTTCTCGAAATGGACGTTGGTTAGGTAATTCGCCAAAATCTCCACTGGCCGACAACAACAGTAGTACGAAACTTGAATCTTCGATATTTTAAATTAAATATTATAACCATGGTGTCGTTGCTCAGTGACATGCTTTGGTTCCCTACAAATTACCTTTATCAGTGAAACTGTGTAATTATCGCTCTGAACAAGTATAGGTATAAATGGCCACTGATATTCAACGATATTTTTAACAAACTTATTCAATGTAATTTATCTCGATTGGTTCGTTTGGAGGAAGGATTGATAGCAAAGCAACGAAACGTCGATTTTTTGGATGTGTGCGCCTATGACCCACGGTACAACGCATTTAGTGACTTGGAATAGACAAGGCAATCGCGGTCAAAAAATAGTTACAATATAAAGCGTACCAGGCAAATACAACCATCCTCTGCAGCCGAAACTGTTTTCCTCAGATATGTGTCCATACATCGACACATCTTCGACAGATATAAAGAGGGTGTGGTTGTCCTTATATTCGGCAGAAAACTTCCAAATCTTAGAGAAAACGCTTACGCTATCATATGTAATTTCACCCGATGAATTACGCAACTCTTCATAAACCAAGACTCCGTTCACCTGAGTGGCAATAAATGCTGAAAACAAGAAATACCTATTTAGTATCATAACCAGAACTAGGCAAATTCGTTCTATTAGGGGCGGATTTCGAGTAAGTGTCGAATGACACAAAAAGGAAGTACTAAATAATGTGATGCGAAAGGTGAAGGCAATTCCAGTGATTTTCTTCGAGCTGTTTGTTAATGTTAATTCAGAAACAAAGTCGACTTCAAAATTTCAACCAAACTTACCAAATAACATCAATATCAGGTGAATGATTCGTTTCATTTTTGCATTCTGATAACTGCTAAAGAGCTATTAGCGCTAACGCGGATTTGTACTGATACTTAGCCGCAGATATAATCTAACTATAGATGGAAAAAACAAACAAATAACAGATCAATGCTAAAATATATGGACACAAAGATCGCGCATCGGTACCGGCATGGTAAGGCCTAACAACAGGGGTGCACAACACGGGGTGTCATGTTTATCCACAAATTGCTAGCTCGTGGCCCTGTTTTCCGAAGGTAGTTGCTGTAGGTGAAACGTGATTTTCCACTTATCGTTGATGACAATAAGGTCTGTTTATGTCGTAATAATCTAAATCGGAATATTCATTCATACCAAAGCGACTACCGTATGACTCGTCACACACGTCTTCAAATCAGCAGTCATTCAGGACATTAAATCGTTTCAATGAATAGATATTCGTTATTATGTATTATTATTTAAATTTGTTTGATGTGTGTTTTACGGAAGTTCGTTTACAATACCAACGATTGTGCGTGGCACGTGACAAGATTATTTCGTATAATTTGGCACGCATCCCCATTTGAGTTGTGCACCCCTGCCTTACAATACACCTAATTTACTCAAAAGGTCTTCGGACAAGCGATACCAATGCAGTAGAGCAATATGGGATACTCAATTATAGAATTAGAATTTTGGAAAATATCGGGCCGTTTTAAAGTTTACACTTTCCAGAACTGAAAGTTTGAGATCGATCAGTGCTTCGCTGCAGACATAAGCAATTTCTAGTACAAAAATAGGTACTCCGGAAGTATGTGAACCAAGACGGCGGACACCTGAACTTAGCATGTGTACCAGGTTAGGCCATAATTTCTGGCTAATCATCGAACTCGTAATAGAACAGAAATAAGAAAAATTGGAAAAAAATTATGGCCGTACCCTAATCTGGTACACATATTACGTTCCGGTGTTCGCCATCTTGGTTCACATACTTCGGGAGTACCCAAAAATAATCACTCCAAAACAACAGGAATGCAACAAATTGACCTGATTAAAGTTCTGCTACACTACTACTACATTCTACTCTATCTTGTCGCTCATGTAGGAAACTACCTTGTGTTACAAGCGCTTGCTATTTTGATAACAATATGACATAACAATGATTTCTCTGTATCATAGTCACGTCACACTATTGTATCGTGTTCTAGGAAAAAATATTAGTCTTCAAGTATATCCGGCTTGGTGATTCATATATTGTTATGTGTGTTTACGCCATTGGGTATTTCTTAGCTGTCTTAGCAAAATAACAAGCTAAATGCGTATTATGGAAACGTCCTAATAATATCGAAACTCGACAGCTTTGACAAGATTGTTTTGCGAAAAGAAACTTGGAATGAGTTTTTCATATTTATTTAAGATGATTGCGTTTAAATAGTATTTGTCTGTATTTTCAATACTGTTTGAATAGCATTTCACAGTAACTTCCATCCTATCAATATTCAATTTCACTGAAGGTAATAGTTTGGGTTACAGCGCGAGGCTAACTCTATTTGGTCTTACTTTATTATGCCTCAGATTTGTAGGCGTATAATAATGCAAGTATGTTGTAGCAAGGGCTGAATTTTAAGTAAAATAGGCACGTGCTTGGGATACCAAGAAAAAGGCGGCATATTTTCATAGCGGAGTTTTCAATAGGGCCTCAGTGTTTAATGAAATGATTGGTCAGACGATTCAGAACTTAATATTGCTAGAGTGAAATAAATTTTGCCTTTTTTTTCTTTCACAAGTATCATCTTTAACCTCTCTATAAATATTTGTAGGTATGATAATTATTTGAATTAATCATAACTCGGCCTTCAAATCAGTAATCAATTTATTCTGAAACTCACTCAATCAATAACAGATAACACACAACAACAATTTCATTATTATTGTTTAGGTAATCCCGTAGTATGTGCAACAAGATGACGGACATCGAAACGTAGTATGTGTATCAGGTTAGGCCATAATTTTAGGTACAAATACTACGGGAGTCATAACAGAATTAAAATAAGGGAAATTAAATTAAGGCCTTACCCTAGCCTGGTACACATACTATGTTCAGGTGCCCGCCATCTTGTTGCACATACTAAGGGAGTGCCTAAATTATTTATATATAGGTCACCAAAGTCATGAGTACTTAGGGCCTCTAAAGTCCATGATCCGTCCTTGAGAATAGTAAACCAGTAATTTGTTCCAGACTCATGAACTTGGCGATGAAGGAAGCCCCAAACGACCACTTTGCCATGGCGAGGAGTCCAGAAATTCTTATTTTGGTATTCCCGTCGTGTGTGTACCAGGTTAGGGTTCAGGCATAATTTTATTCCGATTTTTCTTATTTTAATTCTATTACGAGTTCGGGAACTGTCTGTGTTAGCCAAGTGAATATAGCCCCGCCCATAGGCTTCAGTCTCTTTATGCAACTTGATGTAAAGTAGGCGAACAAAATTAATTACCTCCGTATTGGTACACACACTTATGGAGCGCCTTCGGCAAAAGTTTAAATCGCAAAATGTTGGTAATAACTAAAATTTGCATTCTCAAACTTTGCCATGAACGCCATTTTAGGTAGATACACCACTGACGATAACCATAATATTATTATACTCAAACTGATTAGAAGGTGATCCGCCAATCCCGACATCGTTATTTTTACACGACGTATTTATACGAATTTGGCATCGAACAAGGTTACGCATAAGCAGCCACTGACCCCAACTTTAATGTAAGAAGCTATGTCTGAATCAGGAATCTGTTCTGGCTACGACTATGCTGTGAAGTCGGGAAAATAAACACCCAATTCCAAACTTCGAGCCTTTTAAAAACTTCTGTTTGACCGTGACTGCTAATGAAAAAGACATCTTTACCTTAAAAACTTCAATCTATGTGATCCTTGACTGTAAAAAATTGTGTTCCCGAAGTAAAAATTGTGTATACGAAGTCCCAGGACTCCGTGCGAGAAACTAATGGGATCTGTGAGATATTCATTTACTCATCGAAATACAGTACTGACTTGGCTGATTTTATAGCACTCCAAAGTAGCAATAACGGCATTAATAAAATTTGAAAGCGGTGGCGTCGGAATGTGGCAACAAGCCTTTGAGGGTCAAAACCATCCCCCTTGAAATGTAAAAAAGAGACTCAACATTCTTGAAAATCCACTTTCCGGCTACGACCCTGTATGTACGATACAACTGAAAATTTTATTTTATCATTTTCTGAAACGTAAATATTACCCGATAAAAATAGTATCGCATAGTTTCACTTAAATTGTGATATATATACATATCAAGCCGCTTTGCTTTATCAGTTCATCCAGTACATCGTCCAAGACTGGTTGGGGATTATTCTTAGTAGGCGAGATATATAATAACGGGGGCAGTATGGGTATGCGTGTTACTCGAATAAACATAGATTAGCAACGTCTTGGCGTTCATTATTACAAAATTATCCATGACAAGGGAAAAGCCAACGGCTGGATCATATGTCTGGTAAGGAAGTTGTAAGCTAGTTATTTCTGGACCATGCTATACACAGCACTCGAGCTAGTCTGCTGCGAATCGTCTCCCATTCTGTCGAAATTTTCTCCATATATGGCATTGACCACGATTTCCCGGGTGTTTGATTCTTCCGCCTCAGTTTCTTTGACATCCGGGTTGCGTGAGGTGGCCTTTGACCTGATATTAAATATATCATATCGAGAGATTAGGCTACACCAGAATCTGCAATCTCCATCACGCATTTAAGACTTATCCCATGAGAGTGGGAAGTGTTCTGTTCGGTTAACTCTTTAAAACAGAGAATAGTTAACCAATTATTCGCCGTAGTCTGCTATAACCGACGGCCACGCACCACATATTAGTCAGTAAAATACGTAAAATTGACCTATATATTTATATATATATGATGGACAAGAAGATCATAAAAACTACGTCAAATAGCCGAAGAATAAAATTACTTTATTTGAACAGAGCAGATAAAAAGGGGAGGGGTTCCGGAATTTCAAATTGCCAAGTTAGACCTTATCAGGGCGAGTCTGACAGAAAGCCGAAAACGCGTCTTGAGGGTCTAAAAGCGTTTCAAGTTACGATAAATTGTTATGTATGATTCAGAAAAATCCTTTTTTACATTTCAAAAAGATCACGGTTAACATACTGCTATTGACCCACCAGTAATTTTATAATCTTAGTGGTGATGCTATAACAGGATAGTACCAAAGCATGTTATTTTTCCTCACCGGTTTCGTATAATTACGACTCCAAACACCACCCACGATATGACAAGCAATCCAATGGCGACTGCAAGGCCAGCAATCAACTCGGATCCGCCCTGAGCCGTCTGAGATGAATTGTCGCTTGTTACGTCATTTGCCGTCACAGAAGAAGTCTGATCGATAGATGAGTCTGTTATTTAGAATATTTCATATGAGTGGATTGGAAGATGCGAGCTCTGGGATCTATTAGTGACTTCATAGAAGATGCAAAGAACCACATACGCGCAGCGAATAGGATTGTCTTTGTCGCAAAGATGTGAATAGATATTGGTTGACATGAAAGACGCCCCAATAATAAAAAAATTCTCGGTTTAACATAAGGCTTTACGAGGAGTTCTGTCAGTATTATTCCAGTATTATTGAATGAACGTACCGTGCGCCAGGTAGCTCAGCAAACTTCAGGTTGTTTAGCTATTCTCCTTACAACCTTTAATTCAAATAGACGTTAATTTTCTGTGGAACATATTTTAATGACTGAAAACGGTGATAACTCCGTTTGAACTTCTATTTTCAGTTTCGAATGTGAGAAAAAAAATCTACAAAGCATTGGTGGCCATATTCCTCATACAACCAGGTTTAACAACTGCATATTTACACTACTTGATGGTTTACTGCAACATTTCCCAACCGATGTAGGATTACTCCTCAAAAAGAAATTTTGCAGTTTTTTTTGAGGAATTTTGCTTTGTTTTACCTGTAGTTTTACTAATATTCATTATTTGGTATTATTCCCATAATACATATTTACGTAAACATTTTAAACTGTGTAAAAACAGAAGTGCGACTCGCACGCAACACTAGCAAA